TTTTTTTTTTTGGTGTGACTGCCGGACGTGCTGTGGTCGATGAGGGGAGCTTGACAAAACCGACGAGGGCGCTTAAGCACCCCCTGGCGCCGCCACTGCATGTGCTGTGTACATGTATTGCTCGTTACGACAGGATATTCTGTCGCAGTCACGTGTGGCATGCCGCTGTCTCGTGGCACTGTTGCGTGGCACTAATGTGTGCCACTTTTGTAAATAGTTCTATACAGTACTTACACCTTGGTTGAGGTATCTGATCAACAAATTGAGTAAGAATGATCTTCCTGAGCGAAATATGCCAGCACATGACAAAACCATCACTGGCAAATCTTCCAACTGTGGTTGCGTCAAGACCATTTCAAGGGCTTCTTCATTTAGTACAAGTTTTTCTCTTGTAACCTCTGCTATCTGTACTGGATACCCATCTGACTCCTCTAAAATAAATACAGAAATATGAATACATTTATTATTAATTACCTTCACCAAGGAGGTATGATTAACTTTGGGGAAGAAAAGTTAAAATATCAAGGTAATGATCTGTGTATGAGCAGAAGTATGCACATGGAGTGATTGCTTCAGTTCAATTTGTAATTAAGGTTAAGATTTCTATAACCAATGGGAAAAAAGTCTTTCTCTGCATCTACGGAATGCACATTAAAAATTATATAAACATTATTTATACAAACGATATAGTAAACTGTACCTGTGATAGTTATTAAAATCATTTATTCCAATCTTAATATTTTGATAAGTATGATTGCACCAGAACCTAAAATACCCAAAATAGTCAGTAAAATAAACTAATCACATGACATGACCTATGATTCAGAACCAATAAAACTTCAACAATTTATAGAATTGTCTTACTTTGTGTGGACATCTCTGAACCACTCTGATCATTATAGTCCATCTTTTGAAAGAAAAAAAGAACACATGATTTTTCCAAAAGGAAAGTTAAGCACATCATACATAGCACATACGACATTAATCAATTAATGTAAATAAATAACTTGACTTTTAATTGATATAATGAATATGGTTGATAACAGTGATATAAAGCTGTAAAAAATATCTATGTATGTGAGTGAGAAACTGTTAAAAAACAACTGAGTGATTTATAACATCATTATTTTGTTTAGTGTCTTCATATAAAACAAATAAAATGACAGATTTTAGTATCACTGTAGACTAACATGTTTCAAAAACAAAAATCAGTTTTTTTGGTTAACTTTTCCTTGTTTTTAAGAATGTATAGTATTATTTTTGTTGGTGGGCGGTCAGTCCAAACAGGATTGAAAGCTTGCGACAATTAAATATCAAATTATTATTATTCACATATAACAAAAAGCATGTTGAAAATCAATATTAAGGTCAGGGTGCGAGGGGAAAAAAATCATTAATTTTTTTCTGGTGTACCCACCCCTTTAAATATTTTTTAAAAATTTGGCTGCTATGGTAGACTGAACAATTATAACTATACAGATTTAATCATGCACAACATCCTCTTCAGCATTAGCCATGCATGTAAATTTAGCACACAGCAATCCATAGATCAGGAAAAAAGGCAGAGGCAACTGTAGATCCAATGACTGTTCAAAAGTATTCACAAAATTTTTCCAGTGGCGGATCTAGAATTTAGCAATAAGGGGGTGTTCCACTGTCCCCCATTGATCATGGGTTTTGGGAGGGACGCCCCTTCCAATTGAGTTTTGTTTAGAATTAGTAGCCGGCTAGATGATCTTGAATGACTTCTGAAAAGAAGTTAGGTTTAACATAGAAGTGCATGCTTTACGAGAATAGCCTTACTACAAGTAACATGTATACATGAGAAGCACACACACAAGACGAGTGACCATTTTTTTTTCATGGTCACCTAAGGGGGGTGGCTGGCCCAGAGCCATACATACAAAGAGTTGCGACATTCTGCTCCTCGGTTTGCGAAAGTCATGTGGTACACACCGTCCATTTTTTGTCCAAATCTTCCCGATGAACACATGCAAAGTATATGAGTTCGGTATATTACACAGTATTTTCACATGTTTAATTGTGTTTATGATGTTATTACTTAATAAAATATTGATTACTATAAATCATAATAATGAGTGATTTTTAGCAAAGAAACATTATAGTACAGTAGTATGAAAACATAAAGATATGGCTAGCACATTTGTCTTTAGTAGTCATCTAAGTTGGTAGAACGATAATGTCGATAAAATAGACCTTCTTTTATTTGACTATGAAAATAACTTGTTGTTTCTCTTTGCAAAAAATACTAGGATATTTTGTTGTTTTATTATCCTTTTTCCCACAGAAATTAAATAACAAACAACATAGATGTAATCGAAACTAATATAAAAGAGTAACTAATCTTAATTACATTTACATTTTGATACTTGGAGGCCTATATGAATAGGCTTATCTGATAGTTAATTAATTAATCAATTTTTGCTGGTTGTCATATATCATTTATTTCGCCAAAATAACAGGAGGGTCTGGAAGGATTGCCTAATTAAAGAATACTTCGAGGGGCTCTCCATCTATTGACAAGGATTAAGGAACTACTTTAAATAGTAAATTAATAAAGTATATGAAATTGGATATAAAGTAGTGAAATCACTATAAATCATTATAAATATAGTTACATGAAATTCAACTACTAAAAAGATTAAATTAAATTACAGGAGGCTGCTAATTGAATTACACTATATGATATTATACCATACACAGGAATGCGCATCGCTTTGGACACAGAATGGCTTCTAAATTCTCAATGTCGCAACTCTTTCTATCTATGGCTCTGGGCTGGCCACCCCATTCACCACCCCCTGCCCCCTAGATCCGCCACTGTTTTCTGCATCAGGTAAAACACTTGAACCATCCACTTGTATCAGTTTATGCTACTCACCATGCAATAGTTCTAAAAATACACCTCAAAAGCATAAAACAAATTGTTTTTAACTGGATTCTGCAATATATGCGCAGTTTGTCTCTATTTGCATAAAAATTGAGTATTATTTAAATATTTATTGTATATATCAACTCATTTGTGTCAATTTAATGAATATCATGTCTAGTTAAGGTTATTGTTTTAAGATGATTAAAATACTTCAGACGGAAGAAATTTATTTCAGAAGATAATGCAAATCCAATTGAAAGAACACTGACATTTTATTTAAATTTGCCTTTATTAAGTTGTATGTCTTTATTTTATATTACAATGTTTATATAAACAATAACAAAATAATGAATACTGAATATTGTTGATGACAAATGTGAGAAGATGTAAGGACAATTGTCAGGGGCGGATTCAAAAATGTCCAAAGGGGTAGCCGAAGGGGGTGGGGGGAAGTTGGGGCCGATCGAGACAACACTACTCTAAGGGTCTGGGGCATGCCTAAACAAAATTTTTGTTTTGCAGACGCCTGAAAGTAAATTATTTCTTTTCTTTCTGTTTTCTTTTTTTTTTAATGCTTAAATACCGTACTGGCAAGATTTCATAATTGCCATTAATTACTTACCACTAACGGGACATGTCGCATAAATGGCATGGTTGAGTTAAAGCTGTGTTGTAAGAAACTGAAGGCCTTTTGTTTTTTCACATAAATGAACATTATAAGACTATTTCAGAGCAGTTTGACAAAAAAATTTGGAAGAAGTTTCAGAACACTTAACCGATCGCCAAATCCATTTGAAGTGTCCTATTAGTGGAAATGGTAACGCCCATACAAAAAAGATAAATATTAATCAATGAGCAAAAAAGATCTATTAATCATGAGCAAAAAAGACCTATTAATCAATGAGCTGAGTACTCCTAGAGCTCCTCATCGAAGCTAAAAAGAACAAACATAAAAACTTGTATGAAGATACTTTTGAGACATAAAAACTCCATATTTAGTAATCTTAATTTCCTGGGGGAAGAACATGAGAGTAGTAGTAGAAAACACTGGGCCTCTATGTGTTATGTATTAGCTGGTGCAATCCTTTGAATAGGCTACTCATCACCCAAAAGAGGGGAAAGAATACTTCAGAGTGGGATACAAGATAGAATATTCTGTTACTGGGCCTTTGGTGATAAAATGAGTTATATCATTATTATTGTTACTTTTACTGCTAAAAGTTAATTATAACCTGATTAGTAAACTCTATTTTAGGTAAAGTTACTGTAGGCCTACACCGCTACAGAAAAAATATTATCAGCTAGGGCGGTTTAGCTTCTTGCCAGAAAGTTGGAATGGTA